CCCCCCCCTCCTTCCTTCTTTCCATTGTTTTAGAATGTTCTTTTTATGTTACTAAAAGAAAAGAATACGTTTTACATAAATATTAGATGAATATCTTTCTTTTCGAGCCGAGGATCTATTGGAAACAGCCTCTCTACCTTCAAGGTAGGAGTAAGGTCTGCGTACATACTACCTTCCCCAGACCCCACTTATGGGATTATACGGGGTTTGTTGTTGTTGTATTTGATGAATATCTTTCTGCTTTGCTACCCTTCCTAAAAGGGGAGCATTCAAAAGCTCTCCTCACTTTAGTTCAGATATCTTTATGCATATAACGACCACTGAGGAATCTTAAAAAGAAAATGGTGGACCGTCCCTGCCAGTTGAACCCGAAATGAAAAGAAGTCCCATGTGCAGTCAGATTATTTGAATTTTAAACTATGAATGAACAAGGAGCTTGTAATGTTAAGTTGCTTAGCATTGAAACTGATATAAGTACAGATTTTGGTTCTTGGCATATAGTTGCATTTGTTGTATAAAGAAAATCAGCTCTACGAATAAAACCTTATCGCATGTGTTATCTGCTGTGTTTTGATGGAACTGAAATGCATTTTGCTAAGAATTCCGTAAAATATACAAACAAATGTTTCTCCTATTCTACCATATAATATATTTGACGTGATTTATCTTTGCTGGAAAATTAATACGAGAGTTATTGCAGGCTGTTAGTGACAGAAACGGAGATTTTAACGATTAATGTAAAACCTGGCTGGAAGAAAGGGACAAAGATAACATTCCCAGACAAAGGAAATGAGCAGTTGAACCAGCTTCCAGCAGACCTCGTGTTTGTAATCGACGAGAAGCCCCACGACGTTTACAAGAGAGACGGGAATGACCTTATTAGGAACTATACAGTAACATTAGCAGAGGCATTGGGAGGAACTACTGTCAACCTCACAACGTTAGATGGTCGCGAGTTGACAATTCCAGTGAATGAAATTGTGAAACCTGGTTATGAGCTTGTGGTTGAAAAAGAAGGCATGCCAATCACAAAGGAACCTGGCAACAGAGGTGATTTAAAGATCAAGTTTGAAGTTAAATTTCCTACAAGATTGACAACTGAACAACGAGCTGCCCTTAAGCGCGCTTTGGGAGGTTGAAGCTGCTAAAATCCAAGATTCCAAGTAAATTCAGAATCACATTAGAAATATAGGATGTTGCATTCATTGTAACAAAAAAAAAGTTCTTCTTGACACATGTTTGGGACTCCTCAAAGATGAGATGCCCAACTTAGTCTCTCCTCATTTTCTATACTTTTTTTTTCCCATTTGAACAAAGTATAGCACTTTCTTTTTCAGATTTTCTTTTAATTAGTTCAAGGCGGAAGCAAAGGGTTTATGTCAATTGTTGTGTCCTTAGTGCTGACTGACAGAGGCGGATCAAAGATTTAATTTCTATAGATTCAAGATTTAAGGATTTTAGCGTTGAAATCATTATATTTTTAAAGTTATGAGTTCATATCTACTAATGGAAGGTTAATATTGACACTTGTGTTGTTAACTAACATTTTCAATTGCGAAACGTTATAGCATGTACTTGAAAGTTGGCAGCTTATTTACCTAATTGTTGTTCTTTTCTAGTTTCTCTTGCCCATTTGCTTCCCTCACAGCCACCACCACCACCCCAACAACCCCCAAAAAAAGAAAAGAAAAGAATGACCTGTTGCTAAGATTGATAGTATCAAATGAATATTGCAGACTTTTGTTAAAAAAAGAAAAATGAATATTGCAATTACAAGATTATTCACACTAGAGTATGAGATCAAAAAGAAAGAAAAAAAGGGATAAATGAACTTTTAATGTTGTTAACCACCATTACAAGTTTGTTAATGCGTTGGGCAAGGAGGACGCCAGAAGAGTTGCCAGTTAATATATAATAAACCATACCCAGCCATGGACAGGAATTATGCTTAAAAGACGAAAATTGTTGCGTTTCTCTTTTCCTGAAACACAAAAACAGTGAAAATGAAGCAGTGAAGAAGAGAGCATCTCCTGCTTTTATGCTAAAGGTACATAATTGTTCTAAAACAACTAGAAAGCTACATGCCTAATCTAAGGTCTAAAAGCCAAACACAAAGAAGAAAAAACATATCCAGAATTTACATCATGATGACTAATCATCAACCAACAAAAAGAAAAGACTTCAGAATCCCCTATTCCTCGCATCCCTTCTCCAATCAGCTTGATACTGTCCCCTCGGTGACAATATTTGTGGCCTGTTTGGAACGTTTATTGGTGATTGTAAAGGCATAGCCATAGGTGTTGCCAAAGGTCTATGATGAGCCAAGAGCGGCCGCTGAAAATTATGGCCTAAAGGGTAAGGAGGACGCTGCTGCTGGAGTGGGGCTTGTGGCCGCCACTCCGGAATGTCATCGTCGTCATCATTCCACGGTTCAATTCCAATACCAACATTTGTAACTCTATCATTACTACTAGCTGTACCAGTTTGCCCATACTTAAGTACAAGTTCTCTCATCTGATCTACAGGGCGAGAGGGTGGTTGTTGGTTATACGAGGCGATTCTTGACCCATGAGACAAGTTTTGAGACGGATGCCTAGGCCTAGAAGCATTTATATTACCAGAAAAATTAAACTCAGGCAAATCATCATCATCACGAACTGCTTTGGGACCAAACCCAGGTGGGATATCATCATCATCGTCCGGGGTAGGATCGTGTTTCAAAGATACAGGTCCTTTAGGCATCAAATTTACATTAACGTTTCCATCTTTTTCATGCTGTCCTCTAGAAAACATCTGTTGTTTTTTCAAGCCGTGTTTATGGTGAGAAGAAGAGCTAGGTGATATCGTTGAACTTAAATGAAGTTTTCTCCATACAACTACACCAATTAGACCATTTTCTGTAGAATCATATAGCTCTCTATGGTCTTTGGTAAAGTGTTTGCTTATCATATCAAGTAAGCGCGGTGGACACAAATATACTTCCACTCCAGGAGCTGGCTCCGCAAACCCCGGCCTCTCATCCGAAACGTATGAATCCACTGCCTAAAAAGATTATAAAAGACCAGATAAGCAAACGTAAAACCAATTGTTAATACTGCAGAAGAGCTGCTACAAATATAGTACCCAGAGTCCGTACCTCAGAAATGTTTGCTCGTTCAATCTCAGATGAGTTGTCCCTCAGAACAAATTGAACAACCTGCATTATGCAATATGATTAGCACAAGTTTGAAGAATTTTAATATCGCAATATGTAAAAGCACTAATTTTTTTTCTATGAAGAACTTAAGTAAAAGCACTACTTTCAAGACGTAATCTTGACCATTCATAATTAGGATCCATCAGTTTACTGGTACATCAGAAGTTAATCATCCACTTTTGGTTTAAAACGATGGTTAAGCCAAACAAGTTGAAAATTTGTATTTATCGCAGACTGAACACTTGATTTCACTAAAAGCTAAACATTGTGGGAAGTTGAGTGCAGCATTCAATTTATCTTTCTAAAATCTTGGAGCTTTTGATACGTCTGACACTGAAAAAACCTAATTAGAGAACGTTAAATGAACTTAGTCGAGCCTTCTGGAAAGATGATTATTCAACTCAAGTCATTCCAACCACGGCATAAGAAAAAAAACAAACCATCCAGTAAATAATAAAAAGCTGGAAACGCGGAAAGGACCAATGCTTTGAAACAATCTGATTGAAATGGCTGTATTTTGGAATATACATTCTTAGTAAACAATGGAAGTCGTCAAAAAATAAGGAAAATCTACACACTATCTGCAATAAGCTGCAACCTGAAGTATGAAATAAAAGACTAGCTACAGTAAAGGAAAGAAAATCATAAGATACCATGACTGCACGACTTCGTGACATAGGAAGCTCTTGAAGAAATTTCTCGAATGCATCAAGTCGAACTCTACCCTTGATCTCAAGAGAACTTGGCCACTCATTAGTTGGTGTCTTGTCACCACTGAAACAGAAGATAACAAAGAAGAAATGCCACTCTCTTGTTAGCACCACAGATAATGTTTTAATCAACACGTGCATTTTGAATGTTCTAGAGGGAGTTAAAAACAGAGAACAATGAAGGATATTTACTCGGAGACTGGATAATAGAGAACCCACTCGAGATTTAATGCAAAGTACTAAAAAAGGGTAAAGGAAAACTAATCCAAAGCAAGAAAGGCAAATGATGCAACATGCATTTAAATTGGTGTCAGTCTATTCGTCTGCAGAGAGAATTTTCAAGAACAAATAAAATTATCAAGGGGAACCAAAAAAAATAGCATGGCACTAAAACGAAAGAGATAACCAGCAGAGACTCAACTGTGATAACAGTGCGATAAAACATGTACTACAATAGAATGACATCAACAGATAGTAATTGCTCTACAGATGAAAGCTCTTTTAAAAAATATCCATACCTTCTAAACAAACCAAAGACTGTCACCAAGGATGAAATAGTAAGCTGGAGTGTCCCCTCCCAGATACTTGAAACTATAGAAGCGTTACCACGAGGTCCTGCCATCTTGATAGGTCTCTCAGCAGATTTTACAAGCGCATTACTAGTAGTAGTTACTTTTCTAACAACAGAGCCCCCTGTAGATACCAGGGACTCCTTTGGTTCGATGTGATTCTTGACCCCTTTATCTGCAGAAGCAACAGCAGGATTTTTAGAGGCTAGACCAGAATCCACAACTTTGTTAGGGTCGCCAGAGCTTTCTTTGTCCGGAGGAGGAGTGGAATTATTGTTTTCGGCTGGTAGGTTCTCAAAAGGAGGTTCAGAATTGAGTGATTCCATGAATTCGTCTAAGGAAACAATAGGAGGAAGAAATTCTGCATCCTTGAATTCTTCTACAACCATTCCCTGCATCAAATCAGCCCCATCAGCTGGAATTACCAAGCTATCAGACACATCTTGCTTTTCTGGCCTATTCTGTTGGCTGGTAACGTTTTCTTTACTTCCAATCTCAGCTGTACCAGAAGGGCTAGAATCTTTTCCCCTCTCTATCTTCGGGATAAATTGCGACACATTTGAACTNTCTTCGGGATAAACTGCGACACATTTGAACCTGCAGATATCTCAGCTGCAATGTTATTATCGTCCCGTTCAAAATCCACCTGATATTCACCCTTGTGAGTTTTCTTAACCAGGCGTCTCATGTCAACTTCACTATCAGGCAAAACTACCATTTGAGCAAGTTCCTCGGCTTTTGCCACCCGCCACTGAGATAACTCCTTTGAAGCAAGCTCTTCAGCGGTCATTGAACATAACTTCTCCGGGGATATCTCACTGGACATCACTCTCTCTCGTAATTCAGGATTACTGCGATCTTTTAGGTTGAAGAGAAGAGACCTGCCCTTCTCTTTATATTTTTTGTTCACGCCTCCAAATAATTTAAAAAGTTCGGCCTCAATTTTTAAAGCTATGTCCTGTGGAGATGATTTTGCATGCTCACCTTCATCTCCAACCATACCCTCATCAAACAAATTGGCTTTTTCAGCATCCTGGAGGAAGTCAGCTTCTCTTAACTGCATATCTAGATCCATCGCCCAAGTGAGACCATTCCCTTGCAGAAGTTCATCTTTGACAAAAAAGTTTTCGCTGAACGGAACATCATCCACATGCAATTCAAGTTCATCAGAGCCAGGTATAGAGTTTCTCATGCTCACGTCATCTTGAAGCCCATGAGATGAACTCTGACTGTCATTGGTTTTATCAACAGGGAAAGCGCCAGCTGAAGGAAGTACATCACCGGAGTTTTGATGCACATGATCATGTGAGACGGACGTTTGAGGTAGACCTTCACTGGCAGCTGTTGGAGCTGCATTCACCTGCGAAGGCTGAGAATCAACTGCTTCATTTGGATCCTTGGCAGCATTTACAACAGCATCTGGATTCTGACATGCCATAGCCAGAGCTGAAGCAAGAGATTCTCTCATTTTGGACCTCACAGCATCAGAGGACTCGGATCGAGCCTTGGAGTTTGGCTCAGCTTGAATTGTTCGTCCTTTTGGAGTCTGCGACCGCTGGGAGGCAGTTTTATTGGATATGGATTCATTTCGTGTCATTTTCTTGCTTGACGCGGGAAGACTTTGTGCACCTCCAGAAGTTGACTTTGACTGTTGCTGTCCGGGTTTCTTGATAGCAGAAGATTGCTGCGCAAAACTAGGAGATGTGGATAAAGAAGCTCCCAGTGCAGTGCGCTTATTTGGCATTGATGGCGTCTGAGGTGAAGAACCATGTACTGATGGTTCCATCCCAGCCTTCCGTTTGGCGAGTAACGAAGATTTCTGTGCACCTGGACTATTTGGCACGTATATATTATCTGCTCCCATCTGCTGATGTGACAGCATGAACTGCTGCGGATTCATTTTGGGTTCCATCTGTCCAAACTGATCCGCAGAAACCGATGTATCAAATCTGTTGGCCATAGGCTCATTTGCCCAAACAAACTGATGTGACGCAGAATTATTTGG